TATAAACAAAGCGTTTGTCTAATTTATGTACAAACCTCACACAAGAGTCCATTCGCCTCATTACATTGATTACCATCCTTAACACATGCAAACGTGAGTTTTCGGCACTTATTAAAATCATTAATGTGGTTCTGTTTCTTGATTATTTTCAGTCATTTAGGGGATTCAATAGGTCAGAAACATGATGGACAGACTTAAAGTACAAATCAGTTGGAAATAATCAAATTTATACATATGAATTTGTTTTTAGGTTTAGTAGGAAAATGGGCGTTGAGAACTGGAACATACCATGTTAGACGGTATAAGTGCAGACGGAAAAATACAGCAAGTGCTACAGCCTTTAAAGATACAAAAGTAACCCTAAAGTTTACTTCATAAGCGTTGTTATCGAAAATATCAACGCTTGTTTACAACTGTAGTTTTGATAGACCACTGCCTAGGTTATTTATGTGCCTTCTTATTTTGGCAAGCAGCACAGCTGCTCAACAAATCCACTGGTGAAATCCTTAGAGGGAAAAAAGTGCGCCCCGGATTGAATAACGAGTGACTGAGGCAAAACGTATGAACACTTGTTGTTTGATAATGATAGATTGGGTCGTATCTTCTAGCGCGGTTTAATTATATGGAGAACAGTTCTTTCTGATCGGAGTATCTGGCGCTTACGGCAAAAGGCGATAGGTAATTGTCACCTTATTCCCAATCCTTCCTCTATACGTGCATTTTTATTGTGTCATTTATTACTGTGTTGTAGTCTGCTTGTAATCAGTATCCTTTCGCATCATATATGTATATGTATAATTCGTTACCGATTAACTTGCCTTGTCTTCTCATCAATATCATCAGTGGTGTTACACTAATGGCTGATATTGATGACCATATCAGAAGAACAGATCACCGTTTAAAGATAGAGCAAACGAACCAAAACCTTAAAACCCCTCTGTCAAAATTGGACTAATTTGTATTATGGAGCTTGGAAATAAAGACCATAAAGATGAACTGCTTTCACTAACCGACCTTGGTTTATGGGGCAAAATCAGTGCGAAACTCGAACGAAGACTTATTTCCTAGTCTGTTTCCGGTGACGGTATCAAGTTAATATATTTTAAACGGTTTTGTAGCTCCACATTTCAAACCCAGCAAAATAGTAACAGTCAGCGTAATCTTACCTCCTAGACAGGTGGTCTTAAACAACAGCTCAGACACACTAAACTACGATGTAACTGACATACCGATAACCATAAAATTTGCAATTTAATTAATTTGTAACAAATTTTATCTGATTAGTTGTGAATTAGCCAACCCAACCAGGCGAGTAACTTGGCATCTCTTATTTGCCTGCAAATTTTTCAGGCCATAATTGCAGTTTTCCTCCGTTTGCTTTATTGAGTGGCATCACATTTGGGCAGACAAAAGTAAATTATGCGGTGCTGTTAACCACGGATGCTTTGAGGACATTGGATCAGAGTTGTGATGTTGAGGATTCCGGATAAAAGAAAATCTCAGCAATCGCATCCTAATCTGCCTGTCATCTGCTTACCATAGCGCCCTCCATATGGTAGTTTACAACAGGTACACATTACTTACTCGCCAAATAATAGCAATGTCGATAATGCGGAGGAGGGGATTTGTTTAATACAGCTTGCACATCCTTTCTGTGTGATCGTTAGTCCCATTTTAGGTGGACTCTTTTCTAATGAATGCGTCAGATTCAAATTCCACTCGACTTGCTTACAAGCAGATTGACGGTGTGGCTATGGGTAGTCCGTTAGGCCCAACACTAGCGAGCATCTTCTTAGGAATTATTGAGCGACAAGTCCCGGATAATATAGCTGAATCGTTATTGTACAAACGATACGTTGATGATATTTTAATTTTCACTGACGTTACTCATTTTGATTTATTTTTTAATTTTCTTGAAAATATTCACCCCAACTTATCTTTATCTCACGAAGTGGAACCGAACAATAGTTTAGCTTTTTTGAATGTACTCATTACTAGACGTGAGGATGGCACGTTACAGCGCTCAGTTCACCGCAAAGCTACATGAAGTGGTCAATATCTTTAGTTTTCCAGCTTTGCTCCTATTGCATACAAACGGGGTTTGGTTAACACACCATTTCATGAAGCAAGACGTATTTGCACCCCCGATACACCGCAGATGGAACAGGAATTGCTGAGACAAACGACACTACCAAATGGATAACCCGACAAGTTCATTGGTGCAAATAATACCTTGAAAAAGAACACTGAGCCCATATTGACAGCTCAAAAGAAGCATGTTTTCTTATTCTTGCCATTCAGAGGTGACCATTTAGCCAACGACATAAAGCATAAATGAAAGTCTGCTCTGGCTCGAACGTATGTGGCTGCGCAGTTGCGCTTATTTCAAACCACCAGAGGACTAGTTCTCCACAATCGCGAATGTAGCTTGCCAAACTCTTCTGCTTCCCATGTTGTTTACGAGTTCACTTGCAGTTGCAGTGACGTTTACATAGACAGAACAGATCGACAACTATCTCAGCGAGTCGCCGAACACATTCCGAATTGGTTGAAACAACACATGATGCACCAGTCTCAACCTGTTGCACTGACGGCTCGAAACCCAACGTCATCGATTGCTAAACACCTCATGACTACAGGTCACCAAGTTGACCCATTAAACTCATTCAAGATACTGTTACGCAATCGAAAATCGATGCTATCAGCTTTTTGTGAAGCGATGCTCATCCGAACTTACCAGTCGAGGTTGTGTGCACAGAAGTGGTTGAGGCAACCTATCGGGTTGCCATGATCGTGATTACATAATACTTGGTGTGCATGTATGCGTGTCTAATCCCTGTCTGTTCTTATCTGTATGATGTATTTAACTTGCACTTTTTACGTTTGCGACTGATGAGAGTAAATGGAATGTTAACACATCGCAATATATGTCTTCTTTCTGCTCTAATGAAATAGTTCAAAGTGTTTAATCTAACTTGCGTTGATAACTCACATACGACAGCAACTCTCGTGCAGTTTTGAACAATCAATAAGGAAAGCTTACTAATTCCATACTTCTCTGTATCAAATGAAATTTCCACTGGGAATAACACTTGGTAACAGTCCACTAGTGCTTTTATTTGAATTCAAATCGACTCTAATCCGACCCACGGATGACTCGACACGTTCATGTTACCACCGCTTAGGAATGTGCATGCCTACCATTTTGTACCTAAACCGTCTCCCCTCTGTCTAGAATATTCGTCAACATCGAGATGAACTGCAGACTTATATTTCAGCGCATCTCAATATATATCAAGCCCGTAAAACCTGCTGAATGCACGAGACTAGTTATTTGTTGGCAATAAACGACATAATACTGCTAACAATAATGGGTTTCTTGGGATTAGAACAAAACTTTGCACTCAGTTACCAAGGATGGGAGTTTTCATTGATAGTACGAGATAAAATGACGAGACCCAACTGTGAAAAGTCTGGGCTTCGGCTGCATTCGAACCAGCAACAGAAACACCATGCCTCTATGTGGCAAGCGCTCTCCCAACTGAGCTACGAAGGCACGCCGGGAGATGAGAAATTTCTATGTTCAAAAGTGGCGTTGGTGCATTCCAGCCTGAACTGTTCAAGAAATCCTGCTGGGGCAGTCGATCCTCTAGATCATTTGGTGGATTCCATATGAGACAGTGGGACGGGTAGGTAACCGAGTCGGAATGTGAAATTTCCCAGCTCTTGGCGTGACTTCGTCGTTCGGCTGGTAGAGCGATTGCCGCGTAGAGCGATGGGGTTTTTGTCGCTGGTTCAAATCCAGCCGAAGCCCTGACTTTTCACAGTTAGCTCCCATATAAAATCATCAACCTGCCAAAATACTCATTAGTGAGACAAAAAGAGTTCTACAGTACTGTTATATGATGGCCGGAGTTAAATGATTCTGGTACGATATAACGTCAACAAAAAGAAAAAAGAAGCTACATAAAACAGTGACAGTATTACAGAACATCACTACAAACAACAGATTGAATCCTTACTTTTGGTCAGACAAAGTGTTGGGAATGTTTCGAGCTGAATGGTTTCTGTCTTGTCTCAGCTGCACCTACTATTAAGGAGTGGCGAAAATCCTTCAGCAAGAGTTCATCTATAAAGGGAAAAATTGCAGAAACTCACAAGCCCGCACCACATTGCAGATGCCTGTGCCACTACTGCCTGTTCAAATGCAAACCCAGTTTTCTCTGTACACTGCAATTTGGTCTATACTGTAGGATTATACACCGTGTACACCGTGACCTTCGTACATACTACGGCTGTAGATTACACAATTGTTAAACTCTACAACGATTGACACGAGGCATTTTTCACACGACCACCAACAGACTGGTTTAAAAAATGGAAATTTTTGAAACGGCTCACTGTTACTGAAACCTACTATAGCGCGTCTCGGATAGTAAACAACAAAACTGACAGTTCAAACGGTTTCATCCTATCAAATGACCTCGGTATGCCTGGCACACAACACAACAGGAAAATTAAAATGTACTCTTCGTTTGCACTATAATATCCATTAGTCTTAACTGTAGCAGAGAAAATCAGGGTCAACAACTTATGTGCACACACTACAATCTTGCAACGTGTGAATGGCAATGCCATTAGTGATCTTCGGAGGACAGGAACGTGATGACTCATTGCAAAGAGGGTGCCTGTTAATTAAGTGTACGATTTTCCCACCAAGAATTTAAAGCCTGCACCGGTGGAAGCATGTTTGATGAGTTATATATTTTACAAACTATATATATAATCTTGCGTCAGTGAGACAGATCCATGGGCACTATTAATACATCACGAAATATTAAATTCTCAAATATAAACAAATGTCCCAAACTTCGAAACCCACGTCCGCGAAGCTGCTTATCACCAATATATTACAGTACACCCTATCACAAGAGATTTAACTTAACTAGTCTGATAAATACACAGCTGGGTCAAATTTTGGTTACTCAGCCCAGTGTGTTTTCCTGTAACAGGTTAGTGTACATTTGTGCGTATTGCAGCTTCAATCTATGGTGCTTTTCTCACTTATGTTTGGCCCGTCTCGGCTCACAAGGACACTATCCCCGACAACCGGTTTACCTATTTCGTTAGTTGAATTCACTGAGAAGGAAACACTGTTTTTCACTTATTTCTTACTAGCACAAAATCTTTGAGTTATTTGCCAAAGTAACCCATAAGAGCCAAACAAATTTTTCAAGTTAACTGGATTGAGGGATTCTCTGTCTTATCATCACTTTAACTAAACGAATGAGAAGGACTTATGCTGATATGTTTGACTGATCACTCACGGAACAATGAATGGGGAAAGCCAGTCATTTGATAATGTGACAGTGTTAACAAAGAGCCATAAATTAGGATGTCAGATTTGAAGATGCATTGAACACCGATAAGATAATTCAGTTTCAAACGATCTACGATTGTGTGGTTGATATACCAAAGGCCCACCAACACAATTAAACAAAATTTTACAGTAGTCGTTTTCATCGAGGTGTAACAAAAAGTGGATGGTGCGAACCATAATACTTTTGCGCCACTCAGGCAAGGGTTTGCGACCTTTTAACGTCGTGCTGGCAGTTCAATAAAATTTTTTTATAGATATATTAAATCAGGAATTATTGATAATCACCTAGGTGTATCCAAACAAGGCTCATCTACACAGCTTTGTAATCTAGACCGTGATCACTCTTGTGCCACTTGGTCCAAATACTGTCATGGAACGGAAAACCGTATTCAGCCCTTTTTCACTGGAGAATGAACTATTGGCAGGACCGCCTAACCGTCAATTTTACTGAACGCTGCAACAGCTTCGCAGCGGTTGCACTACGTTTACCACGTTTATCTGATCACCTTGAGCCTGAAACACAAACTTTCCGTCTTGATAATACAGATTCTGCAGAACAGAATATGTCCGTTCATCAAATGTCTGTCCGAATGGTTAAAAAACACTGTTATACCTAGTTCTGGATCGTTTCGACTAAGTCTAGTGATAATATTTTAGATGCACACTTTGTCATTAGAGACCTTGATACTGACACTAGGCCAGCCGCCACTGCTGTCCACAAATATTTTGCTTATCAGCCCAGGCTGATCGTACAGCGGACCTCAATTACTGTGACATCGGTTGTTATTCAGTTATGCAATCCATCTACTTGATGTCAAGTGTGTAGAAAAAATTCAGCTGCCGCGGCCAAAGACAAAATTCTTAACTATTTTTCCCACTCAACCTCACCGCATGGATCTCGGCGTCTGGTAATCCAAAACTTTACAAGGTGGGTTATGAATCAGTTGCATTCCTTAATCCTTAATCTATACCAAGTTTCTAATTGTTGTCACAACTTTGCTGAACGCATACGATTGTTTGAACGCGGTTACTTTGGCCAAAGTTTGTCTTGCATAGTTTCTTCTCAAGTTAAATGCAACCAGACTGTTTCTTTTGAATAGCACAGTTCGGTAAGTGGCAACACTTAATCTGCAGCTGATTGTTCTCGATTTGTCAGATATAAGCGAACTAAAAGTGTTGATCTACGCCAGTGACACTAAAATGTGACAATCGTTATTCAAAAACCTCACGAAATCACTTGAGTTCACCCACTCGTTATTCTACATGGTGCCAAACTCAATGAATGTGTAACTGTATTATAGAACACTTAATAATTATTATCCGGGCACTTACATGCTGAAGGTCTCAGAGTAAGTAGTGCCTGAATGGCAGTACTTGTTTTAGAAATTGAAGGTGAATAACCTCGTAATATCACTCTTGTCACAGTGGACAACCCTACTGCGTACTCTCAGCTTGAAAGAAAAACTCTCGCTTCTTCTATTAAGGTTGTCCACAGATGTAGTAATAAGGGATTCACAGAATTCAAGATGTACCATTATTGAGAATGGCAGGTTCTTAGATGAATGTAGGCATTTGTGTGACGCATTACTCCTGCAAACACGCAGGCATGCGGTACCCAGGAACAGGTGTTGAAGACCACATTCTCTTGAGTTTGGGTTTCCGATGGCTGCTGTGTGAACAGGGTTTATAAGTGAGCATCTATCTTTAATGAATTGCAATACCTAGTTCTGTTACTCTACGCGGTTCAGTAGAGATGTTGAACACTCCACTCAGTGGACGCCTACCGGACTATCATTCAGTGTAACAGTTCTTTTAACCACCTCCGCAACTTACTTACAGAAGTCAACATATACATGTGTACGTGATTGCGGGTTTGCTTGTTTTTTATGTTGTTGCTGTCTGTTCACAGACTTTCTGGTTTTATCGGTAGGCTGTTTCGTTGTGTTTGTTTGCTATCCACCAGTTTCTTTGTTCTTCGGTATACATAATTAAGAATCATGTTTACTCACACCTTCTAAAGGTCCAGCAAGGTTTGGTCTCTTAATGGTGCAGTGAGAACAACAAACTTACCATCGATCATGTCCTGCATGAAGATGTCTATTAGCTTAATGATCACTGACTCAGTAAAACTGTACGCTAATATGTGTGTCTCACCTAGATGCAATCATCAGCCTTACAAATAAACATAAACACTGCTTCCAGGCGTACTTAATTGCTTGCCCGTCAAAAATCAAATTGGTCTTCATAGTACTTATTATTGACATATCTTCATAGGCTTGAACACAAAAAACTGCTGTGGCTTGATCCTGTTTGATTACCCTCTTCTAATAAGACGTTGACCAGCTGAAGCCAGTGTTGTGGATACTACTTAACGAACCTGGCTATTCATTAAAATTTATGTAAAAATTCACGAAAATACCCCACTTACCATTACACATTCTGTTGTCCCAATACTGAAAGTGTGCCTTTGTTTGTTTCACCGGAATAATTACCCCAGTGTTCTATTTAAAACTCTTCTCGGGACTTCTCTAAGTTGCGCTGATCAAGCAGTACAACAAACTCTAATCCTTACATAACCGTTGTGAACACGATTGAGAACCGGAATCCTGCTCACATCACCCAAGCTTTTTCCTTCGAGTACTAGACAATTTGCTAAGGCTAATCAGAGCAACAGTTATCTAAATGTACCAAAGGTTGTGTGTCACATTTAGTGCCTGAACGTTTCGCGAGCATTAGAAATGTTCCAGTGCAATCAGAGTGGGATAATGTACATGAAGCAGGTTTGTTGATCAAGCCTTTCGATTGAGTTATTAAGTGGGCCGCTGGGGGCTACTTCGGTCTGCTGAGGGAAATGTGATCACCAGCTGGAAGTGAGTCTTCGCAGTACAGAAAAACTCCTCAAGCATTATTCGGTTGCTCTAGGAATCAGTGGGTTTCGCGAGGAATCTTGACCTCCGTTGTGTACGTTCATCCGCTCACGCTAGTACACTGTAAACGAAAGCGAATAGGGCGGCTCTTCTTAAAAGCTTGCGAAAAGCTTTTTCGTTTCTTCAGAAGTTCTGTTACAGATCCATCCACATTTTACTAATGAAACAGACCTTCGTTTAAATCGAAGCTCTAAAGCCTCATGCAGTCATTTAACGTGTACGACTTAAAAGTTCAACAGGACAGGGTGA